AAGTTCGACGCAGAAACAGTTCATCCAGTGCTGAATAAAACCGTGAAATCGAGAAAAAACCGGTAGGAAATATCGGGTCAAATTTAAGTATCGAGAGGTGTAGCATTACTGCTGGCAAAGTGCAACGACATGAGAAAAGAGGAATGGAATAGTTAAGCATGAGAGCGAAAATTAGTCGTATTTTACTAGCTCTTTTTCAGGATCCCGGAACGATAGCTGAGCTAAAATTGAAATTGCGACCGTTGTGGCCAGAGCTGTCGCAGTGTTCAATGCAAATTTTAATATCATCAATGCTCATCAGTGAGGATGAAGCAAAGTAAGTGTACTTACAAGCCGCATATCCGCTAGTATTTACGTTCAGTGTGTTTTAGAACAAATATTTTCCTTGGCAGTTGAGGAAATTTTGGCAAAATATCTAGTTTATTTGACACCATGTTATTGCTGGTCAGCTATTTTGACATTATCAGTAGTTGGACACACATTTTTTGACGTTTCGATGATGCACACAAAATACGGTTTTTTGCTATTTGGTGAAAAATTGAAAGTTACATTGCCCCGCTAATTTTGTTTTTACTGTTTTTATCAATTCTCTTCATGCCAACTGAACGTTTTTGAATATTTTTGGTTGTCTTTCACGTTGATTTTTTCCCTCAGATTAATATGCCTGATTTACCCCTTTTGCCTCGACAATAGGAGGAAGGAAAGAGGCGAAAAGACGAGTAGCCAAAATTGTTAAAAGAAAAACAGAATAGAGCCATATTCCCAAGCTTTTCTTTTCATCTTCTTGAGGAGCTTTTCTACATACGCTAAAATGCAAAGGCAGTAGGCGATAAACGATGCCAGAACGAAGTATGACTTGCGCAACGAATTAGCTTAAATTTTAGTTATTCGTGGCGGGACACAATGTTTTCACGACGCACGATATTTTTTATCAGCTCTCAGAAATATTTTTTTTTGAGTGAGTTTGATGCGAAAAGCGAGGCGTCGAGTGTTGGGCAAAGAGCAACGAGCATCGCCGGAGACGTAGCAGAAATAGATCAGCGTGGCGACACTGCCAAAACAGGCAAGTCCCTTCGCTTGGCATGATTTCATGTTTGTGCTGTAAATTGGACAGGGCAGCTGAAACCACCTAGCGAGGATGCACTTCCTGCATAATTAATTCGCACTGTCCGATAATGAAATTAAGCTGAAATGCCAAAAAGCGCAAGCGCGTTTAGTCAGAAAATTCGCTCTCAGTGACAAGCGGAGGAACTGGAGAATTAGCCCGAGTGGTAGCAAATGCCAACAGCAACCGCGTGTTGGTAAGGCTGTCGATGGCTCCGTCATTCAGGGATTGCACCTAAGCAAGCTGATGGCGGATTTGACTCCTCGACACATGCCAGTACCAATTTTACCATCGAAACGAATGAACGAATCGTAGAGAGATT